GCAGTAGTAAACTCGTTTTGGAGCAATGGAACCCGGAACTGCAGGCTGAGTCAGTGCAGCAGCTGTGCTGGGGCCTCGGGAGCAGGAGGCTGGCCATGATTCATGCTGGCTGGGACAGGCCCCACAGTGTCCCAGCAGCCACCCAAAGCTACACCCAGACAGTCACTGAGTGTACAGACTCAGCTGTCTCTGTTGACTCCCAGATGACAATAGGGAAGTAGAACCTGTACCTTGCAATCCCATTACAGGAGTGACTGGAGAAGGTCAGGTGTTTTTCAAACTACCTGTATAAAAATGAACCTGTAAGGGAAAGCTTTTGTCTTAAGGGCTGGTGATGTGTGTAGTCCCAAAGCTAAGGAGTTGGGTTCTTTAGACAAGTAATGCATTTTGGATTAGCAGGGCCATGGGAATTTGAACTGCATGTACAAACAGGACTCCAGTTTTAGTGGAGTTTTGAAGTGAACAGAACAGTTTGTTACCTTATAGAATCACAGATGATTTGGGTTTAAAGCCCATCTAGTTCCAACCCCTGCCACAGGCAGGGACACCTCCCACTAGACCAGGTTGCTCAGAGTCCCATCCAACCTCAAGTGACTAGAATAGGAAAAGTTTTTCCCTAGGAAGTGGGAAAAGAGAGCAGCAAAGCTTGTTTTCAGCTTCTGGAAAGGTCAGCAGTGGATGAAGTTGATTCAGAAGTGATTTTAGAAATGACAGCTGAATAAAAATAGTTTGGCTCTTCCAGCATTAATTCCAGTTTCATTGCTTATCAGCTCTCACAGCTTTAGAACTTAACAGAAGTACTATTTTAAATGGAATTAGTTTTTAATTTCTCCTACTCCTCCAATAAGCTTAGGCTTAGTATTTCAGATCAGAATTCCCTTTCCAGTGCACACCACCCTAACCTGTAACCTGCTGGTTAGTTAGCTGTGCTGTTCTCTCCTCTGCCAAGAGCAACTGGACTGTGGCTGTGAATGAGCTGCAAATCATGAGACTGGTTAATCAGGGAATAGCCAAGGACTAGTGTGAACAAGGGAGTTGTCTTATGTCTAAGCAGATTGTTTCTGTACCTAGCCTGGCTCCAATAAAGTGCTGCAGGAAGCAACACCAGCCTGATGATGTCTGTCTGTCTTAATGTCTGCTGAGTTAGTTGCTGATTCTGACCTAGACTTTGGAAATGAAAGCTAACAGACAGTAAAATGGAAAATTTATTAGTGCAAGTTGGTCACTCAGTTTTTTCCAACAAGTACATGACAGCGTCCCATGCTTAATGCATATAAACACACCTGGTCTAAGGTAAGAAAAGTTGAACTTGTTTTGAAGTAACAATGTGTTACATATTGTCATCGTCTGATTCATCTTCCTCTTTCAAAGATTCCTGTTTAAAAAGAAAAAGTTGAATTAAAAATAGCTTAAGCTGTTTTACAATGCAACCTGTAATAAGTAAAATGAGTTTTGCTGTAGCTTC